GGGTGCACCACGTGAACCACGGCAAAATAGGAGGAGGGAAAAAATTTTGATTCGTATCGTTTTTTCTAAGTCCATGAATAAAAATATGTGCCATTTGTAATAGGAATTTGGGTTTCATGGTCATATTCTAATGGGGAGCGTGTAATGTTCTTAATCTTACTTTAGGTCGCTATCTTCCTTGAACGTTTTGGCTCAAACCAAATATTAGTAGTAATTAGAGATGGACAACAAACTGGCAAACTGTCATTTAGGTCATTTCGATCAGACTTGTAATTTTTGCTAGTTTCTTGTGCATTTTACAGCACTTCCACATTAATGGAGGATGAAGCGAATTGCATTCTCACAGGTGAACTGGACTGTGAGGAAAAGTTGCAAATCACTCTAGCTTTAAATAATCGTGGGCGATAATCTTGTCTCTGCTTTTTATTAAATGGCTATTTTATTATGAATTTTATGAAATACAGTTAAATAAATTTATCTTTTGATAGCTTCATCGACCATTTCAAGGGCGTATCTCAGTTTGATTGGTGATAGAAGGGGATACGATTTGATTACGATTGTATTATTTACTATGTAGTGCGCGTTTTATTAGAAAATATATATTTTCAATCGACGTATTTGCATTTTTGTTAAGTCCGTGTAGCAAATAAGCGTTTTTACACGTTTCCCCAGATAATCAAATGCTTTAACAAGATTTAAGCAATGGTAGATTGTCATTTAAAGCTTCTGAATTTCTCAGTCATTTCTGATTTAAGCGTCAAAAAGGTTAGGCAAGACTAGTGATATCTAAATTGGTATTCAACTTTTCGTATGTAAGTGAAAATTTATGAGACGTCAAACATTACCAAATTCCAAATATGTCGGTCTTATTAGAAATTCATTACTCGATTGTCAAATCGTATTCCTTGCATGTAGCTTCTACTTCTCAAAACTTAAAAAGCACAACTTGCTACTGGCATTTCTACTTTTGCACTATAAATAATTCATCGTTGTATCTTCTCTTACTTGGAACCTAAAACTAGCTCATTTAAAAAAATCCCCAAGTAAATTCCCTCCACTCCTATTTGTGCTCCTTTCGATTGCTAAAGAACAAGGGTTAGCGGAGAGTATAACTTCTTTATAGTTGAAGGACAATGCCAATATAGTATTGCACAGAGAGAGAAAAAGCGTAGTTTGAAATTAAAAATTTTGAATCTAGATGCGCATAACATCGATATGAAAATGTTCTCGCTTTGCTCATAAGCGCTTTTGACTTGACCTCCACAAGACACTATTTTAAAGTTGGATATAGATCTTGTAAAAACGACAAAATCGTGATTAACCTACTTGTCAAATAGTATAAGTCAGGAATTTACTAACTTCGGACTACTGAAATATAGATAACTAAAATTTACTTATCATTGTGACACTTTTAAAAATGCTAGAAATTCGTCGAAATCCATCATGTGTTTTTCTCGGCGTTGCAATCCACTTTGAGATTTCGAATATAAAATTTAAATTTTGCTTTTAGTTTTCTCAACCCTTTTCTTAAAATAGAATTTTCTAATCAGAATATGACCTTTGCTAATTCTATCTTGTCTCCAATTTAACGTTATTGATCTCCTGGCAGACAAATGCTCACCCTACAAGCAAAAATTAAATTCTCATAAATGGAATATTTTATAAATTTGGTCGAAGACGATGTTGTCATCTCATTAAGATTTTTATAATTCTTTGTCAAGGCACTATGCTTCTTCTGAATGTTAAATGTTATATTTATTGACCTTCTTTTAAAATAATCTTTAAATATATAATTCTCTTTCAATGTATACTAATATTAAAGTTAAAATAAGATTACTGAAATGTCGTTAAAGGCAGTAATTCATTTTCAAGCTTTGGTTTGGCCCAGTTAGACGTGCAATCAATTTGAAAAATTAAATTTTCATGAAAAATTGAAAAGTGAAGGTAGAAATTGCAAATTCTAGTTTAAACCTAAGTGACTCGAAAAAAAATTCCTTGATGGAAATTGGTTTTGTGAAAGTTGCAACCACTTTTGAGTGAATTAATAGAGATCCGCAAATTCAGTTGATTCAAACAGATCTGTTTTCATTTATAGTGACTGTAACATACTGTCGTTCTGCTTATCTGATACCTGTGAGAAATAGTTTAGACTATTTGATTTAAGCGTCGTAAAGAATTGCGATTCTTATTTTTTATGAGGACTGCACATTTTAAATTAGGTCAAAGTTGCTTAAGTTGCTTCCATTGAGCAAACATTTCCCTTACTCTTCAAGGTAGAATGACATTTCTATATTGATTCAAATGTTCCAAAGCAACTATTATCTGCATTGCACGCTTTTTATTATTGAAGCTATGCTATATGTCTCATTTGACTTATCCCGCAGAAAATTTATGACAATTCTCGAAGGTATGGTCGCGATTTTATCTATTCAGGAATAGGAATTTGGAAATCAAATCAATTTCTCAAAGCAGAAAACTTCCAAATTAGCATTTATGCACAACTATAAAGTAATATTGCTGCTCTGGTTGATTGTTTGACCGTGCCTGCTTTGTTAATAAATAGTTGGCATTACGTTACAAAACATTCAGTTAAACATTGACTAAATGATTTTAACCATTTTGGAAAGTACAAATAGAATTATTCAGTGATCTTTCGACTAATTAATTGTTAATTTTCTCATTTCACTCCAAAGTTACGGTGGCAACTCCTATTAACTGCATTTTGAAACATCGGAATTTAGAAAAATAAAGAATTTCAAAATTCAATTTTTAATAAAACTAGTGATTACTAGCAACTTAGCAATATGTTGACATCATACTCTACGATAATATGATATAAATTAGAACAAAGTCTCTATAAGTTGCAGAGCTATTTTAAGGCGTAAAAAATGAAAACTAGAACTGATAATAAATCATGGGACATCCTTTTCCACTTTGTGGTTATTTGAAACGTTGTAGTAAGGAGGGTTGTTGCACGATTCAGATTTGGTAAATTGATAGCCGCATTTTCATTTTTCCTATTAACCATCCCTGTACGATACGACTTTTTTATGGTTGAATGCTGTGTTATTGCCGCTTTTCACGACATTTTTATTACATAATGCTTTTTCACCTAATAGGGTTGTCTGAAAGTGAAATTAATTCCCGGATGGAAGAGAGTCACAAGCTTCTTTCATGAAGCTATTTAAATGGCCATCGTCTACTTCATTGTCTACCCCTTAAAAGATTTCAAAATTAAGAAAAAATAAAATTTTTCTTTAGACCTATCTAATGGAATGAAATTACTTTTGTAAAGCTTGTTTTGGAACTAGAGATTGAATCTTAGTTTGATTGCATTGATCAACAGGACCAAAAATTAAGTAATTACATGTACTGACATATTCCAGCGTTTAATCTCCATCACAAAGTATTTGTGTAACTGCTCACATATGCCATTTGTGAATGTTTGTATCAGCGATGGTAACTGCCCTTTTAAAATTTTGAAGTTCGCAGATTTTAACTAACAGACTTCAACTAAGCATTACTGGGCTATTCTCTGCGTACATAGTTCACATAGTCTGCAGTTAATCCGTTAAAGTTGATAAGCAAAAGGAATGTTCAATAAAACGCTATCATTACCAGTTGGAACAAACGTATCCATGAGGGTACACAATCCTTCATGGGTGTGCTCTGGATTCCAGTTCGATCGGAAAAGGTAATTCGAATCTATGTGACATGAGCCAATTTCAACAGAGATATCCACCAGTAAATTTACTCATAATGTTAAAGATACCACAGACGATACCAAACACATGAAAATTTTATAAAATTTCTAAAGGAATAGCTACATTCAGTACATACCACTGCGTAGGTGTGTGTAGGCATTATTCAATAGAGTTTTTAGTCATTCATGTCTATTTGACAGCTGGTTGGAGATGATCTGTGTATTCTTTTTTATTTTATGAGTCTCCATAGCTTTTTTAACCTATGCCAATTATTTTCAGATCGCCTATCTAAAGGATCGTCACGCAATCACAGCTTAGAAAATTGCCTCTGTATAAAGAGCCTGGCTGACACCTACAAACCCAAGCGTCTTGAGTTTAAGCGGAAGACTCCCTATAGTGGTAGATGTGGCAGTATTGGTGGTGGTGGCACAAGTAGTGCACTGTGGAGTCAAGTGGCTCTACCTCCCACCTTCAAAAGTCCTCTAACAGAGCCAACCCCACGGCGAAAACCGCTTAGCAATATTGCCTACTTTCCGTCTTATCATAATGAACTACTTGGCGAACCACAAAGCCCAATGCCAGATGAAGTTGTCTACGATGACGTGCACCAGTCCACTGTCGATTTAAATAATGGGGAATCGGCATCACAACAGGTAAGTTCTTGATTAAGGATGAAGTTTCTTCGAATTATTTATGACAAGAAATTTCATTTATACAAAATTATCGGGGCTTGTTTGATGGGTAGATGCCTATATTTTTAATACTATTTTCAGCGGAAGAAATACAAGGCGAATTATAAAGATTTCAAAGTTGGAAAACGGGAGACAACTTTGAAGTTTTGATATTGATCGATGCCTCTCTAGGCTGGAAATAACCTACCTTTTAATGCCTCTAAATACCCGTTGCTTGTATTACTCATTATTTTTATATGAAATGCATTTTAAGTGTTCATCAAACTAATTCTATTAGGTTTAATGTCAAAAATACTAATATCTATCCAGGCTCGCAAATAAATGTGACCTGCAAGGTTTTTTTGGGGATGTATAAAAGATTTACATTATATAAGCAATAGTAATGAAAGTTTAATATCGATCCAATTATTTCAAGTTATTCAAATATTTCAATTTTTATGCAAGTTGAGATACCGTCTTTCTATCTTCTTCAGATTAGGTGCAATCAGTTTTTGGTAGTCTAGCAGAGTCCAGTACTTGCAGTTCGTAATTAATTATTTGGAAACATATAAGTTATTAAACTGTGCATTTGGTGGCCGATTTATTTACAGCCTGCATAAAAACTCCGCACAGTTTCATTTTTCACAGCCCAAAAATCGTATTCTGTCAGTTTTAAAAAGCCCCAATTTGATTAAGTTACGGTTGATGATTCAGACATTCCAAACAGAAAATTCTGTCATCTAGAAAGTTGCGTAATCATTGAATAATTTGGGGTTTCAGCTTAATTATTTTTATTTTCTATGATCTAATTGTGATTGATTGACTGAGCAGGCACAAAAAAACAATACAATATCATTTACACAACAAACTCGCAAGAAAATGAGTTTAGACACGAAATCCAACTGGATGAGAGACTTAGCTTCGACCTCGGTGAGGCAGTGAGTTGTGCATTGCAACTTACGAACTCGAGACCTCACGCATTTGTCTCCACATGACTCCCTGAATCACGTAATCTTTTTTTCCTGCTAAATAAATGGCAGGCTTTTATGCAATATCTAGTTTGCAGGTGATTAATTATTGACACTTCATGAATGATGAACGTTTCTATTCCACTAAACTATTTGTGGTTTTGTTACTTCTTTTCCGTTTCTGGCTATTTCGATAACTTCCGATTTACTTATTCTTTAAGGAATACGAAACAACCAACTATCAATAATATATGTTGGGTTTACTTTTCAATCTCCACGTAAATAGAAAATTCCATTTGGTAAAAAGTATCAATCATGGAGGCGTGAAAAGGTTTGCGAATTGAATTTGTGGAAATGCTTCTTCACACGTTTAACAATGAAACAAAGCAGCCGGAGGTGGGATCGGGTTGTAAGAGAAGGAAAAAGGGTATTTTAATCAGTTGGTGTCTTATTTATGGATAAATGGGATCACCTGAACTCGTATTCTTTTGAAAGGCCTTTGTTGAGTTCTTACAGTTTTGGAAGCTAAAATTCACCCTAATAGTCATAAAGTCAATTGAAATTATTGGCTGATTGTTCATTATCCCCTTCTCTTATCCACTACCTCCCCCCCCCTCCTCCCGTAGTGAACTATTATAATTCCGACGAGTGCTATTTTTTCTAAGCAAAAAATTTGCCAAAATGTTTGCCTTTTCACTATTAATAGCGCTAAATGTATATGTGTATATAAGTGTACGTGTGTTTGTGCACTCGTACGTCATACAGCCTCTGATTTTATTTAAATTAATTTAATTAAATGGAAGAGATGACTGTAAACGCTTAGCTACTTTATCTGTACTAATCAGCACTGTTGCTCGTTTAAAAGTGATATGAGCAACTACTTCATTCAAACAAATTGTCACTCGGGAGACCATAACTTTGATACATCATAGCTTGAAGCAGTGTAATTTGTTCATCATGCCATGTAAAACCCTGCCGATGCGCTGTTTAAACCTCTTTTACTCCTTATTGAACTCTTTTATTATAATCAGTATGTGAAATTAAAGGCACTAAGCACTCCTTTCAAGGTGCCCAGACTATCCCCAGGGAGTGCGTATCCTAATAATATTGAATCTTTTTGAATTGTGCAAATTAGGCTGCCTAAACAGACAAAGAAGGAAAGGAAGAGTCAGAGCGTGTCCAATTACTCGTATAATCGGAAACTCGTCATTTTTATTCATTTCCCTCTAAAGGTTATTAATTACCATACCATAACTATAGTGTAAATAACACTTTATATCAAACTATTAGGTATTTCAAGTTATCATTCTTGCTGATTTAAACAAATTTAGAAATTTAATAATTAAAATGACTTATAAGTCTTATTGTCCTATTAATACATAATAAAAAAGTTAAATAGCTTTTGATATAACCTTGCCGCTAAGTGACCACAGGGCCATAGAAAGGTACAAATTAATAAAATGGTGATGTACTGGTGACCTCGAGAGGACTACATATAGCTTTGAATGTAGGGGATTGATTGATTGATTGATTTATGTTCGTAGCGATGAACCATAGTCTGATATCGTATGGGCAACAGAGTCTTATTTTAGCTTTCAGTCGTTTGACCTCCTTCAATTATCCCCATATAACAAATTGTAGAAAAGAAAGATCTTTATTTAGAAAGTTTCACTGTGAATGGGAGAAAGACCAAGGAATTTTGGGAGACTTGTGGGTTTGGCGCGCATTGTTTATGCCTGAGTAACGTTATATTTGGTGATGGTCTGGGAACAATAGATGAAGGTGGTACGATTTGTGGCTGTCTAGTCGTAATCTCATATTGAAAATATTTCAGTTTTCAGCTAACATTGTTTGAAAATTGGCAAATAAGAACTTTTAGCACATAAATTCTGCTCGTTTTCTTAACATATTTGACCTGAAGTCCTTGAAACTTCAAGATAACAACATTGCTTTATGTAATGATGCAATAAAACGCGTTAGTATCATTTGAGTTCAATTTCATTTTATAGTTAAATAATTAAGTAGTTATTTTCGCTGCTAATTGTTTTTGATCTTTGATTAACCCCCCCCCCCATACTTGTATTTATATATTTCAAATGGCAAGGATTTTGGTAGTTATCATTAGCTCTTTAACTGAATTCGGGCTTCACAGAGAGTGGGAGGAACATCAAAGTGACAAAAAGTCGAGAGGGGGACAGAATAATGATTCACAGAAGCAAAATAGACAGACAGAGTAAAGGTAAGGTGAGTACTGTAGAAGTGGTGAAATGTGATATACCGCAGGGTCATGGTAGTTTTAAGTCAAAGGTCAACTGTAGGTTTATAGACTTTTGCCATATGAATGTACGTTGCCCAGGGGGCACCACGTGTAGGTAATTTTATTCAAACACTTTTTGACCTCTTCTATCATGCCATTGTCTGATATGGAGTATTAGCAGTATCCTAGGAAATTTGCTTGAAGAAGATTAGATC